ATAATATTATAATATATAATATATAATATTATATATAAAAAAAATATCTCCATATACTTTATTTTCAACTTTTACTTTTTTTTAAACCCAAAATTTCAAAATCTATCTCCTAACTGCCTTAATGATTTTATCTATATTTATTTCAACTTTGAGACCTATCTTCTAACTTCCTTAACAACTTTATCTATATTTATTTCAACTTCGAGCTTAAACAAATTAAAAAAAACATCTTTTTCTAACTCTAAACAGTTTAAAAGTTAGCGCGGGTTTGGAAGGTAATCCTCATCCCTGTCACAGAGGTTTTTAGATTGAGAAAATGAATTTTTAGAGAGAGAAACATAAAAAACAGTTCCTTCCTCCCATCTTTACAAGCCCTCTTCTCTCTGTCTCTCTTCTCTCCACATATTAAAACAAAACCCACTTCACCATTTCTTAATCTTCATCCCTGTCACACTGAGGTTTTTAGAGAGAGAGAGAGAGTTATTTTTAGAGAGAGAATTAACAAAAAACAACCCCTTCTCCCATCAGTCCAGGCCATCTTCTATCTCTCTCTCCATATATGAAACAAGCCCACCTCACCATTTCTTAATCATCATCCCTATTACAGAGGTTTCTGGAGAGAGAAAGCATTTGTAGAGAGAGAAACACAAAAAAATCCCATCTTGTTGAGAGAGAAATACAGAAAAACAGTCACTGATGGAGTTTCCCTCTTGTTGGAAATGCTAGGTTAAAATGGGTGTGGTTCGGTCCGAAAGGGAGAGATTTCCAGATTTGGAATTTGATTGAGCTGGGAGTGGAACATATCACATCCCCTGTGGTAGAGAGAGAAAATGATGAAGCTTGAGTCCTTTTGGAAGCTGTATTTAGGGGTTTTGTGAGAGTGACCGAAATGGGTTTTGTGAGAGTTTAGGGTTTCAGTAGAGAGAGAGAGAGAGAGCAAAATGGGTTCTAGAGAGAAGATGGTGGGGACTCTAAAGAGGTGAAGATAAAGATCAGTAAGAAACGGCTTGAGGAGCTCTTGGGAAAGATGGAGCTTTATGGCATGTCCGTTGATTAGATGATCGAGCAGCTCATGAACACAAATGGTGATAAACACAGGGGCTGGAGGCCTGTGCTTCAGAGTATAATTGAGGGTGAATCATGTTTGAAAGTTAGCGTGTGTTTGGGCAGAGAGAGAGAGAGCAAAATAGGTTCTGGAGAGAAGATGGTGGGGACTCTAAAGAGGTGAAGATAAGAATCAGTAAGAAACGGCTTGAGGAGCTCTTGGGAAAGATGGAGCTTCATGGCATGTTCATTGATTAGATGATCGAGTAGCTCATGAACACAAATGGTGATAAACACAGGGGCTGGAGGCCTGTGCTTCAGAGTACACTTGAGGGTGAATCATGTTTGAAAGTTAGCGTGGGTTTGGGAGGTTGATCGGGGAAGAGAGAAAGGGAATCATGTCAAGAGAGAGGGGGGTTTAGAAACAATGTTTTTTTTAAATTTGTTTGAGTAAAAAAGATTTGTAAAATAATAAATAAAATATGTTTAGAGGATTAGGAGATATAATAGAGTGAATTTTTATATAGTATGATAGGTTTTGCAGCCTTGGGTCAATGGAGAAATGAAAGTTGAAAATGAAATCTATAGAGATATTTTCTCTTATATATAATATATTACAATACATTAATATAATATAGTAACATATTATAATATGACATTATAACATATTATATTACATAATAATGTAATTTAATATTATTATGTTGTAAACAATATATTTAATATATTATATATAATATAATTATATAATATATTATAATGTCATATTATATATTATACACATATAAATTGTGATTAAAAAAGTTAAGGGGTAAGCACAAAAAGACATGGTTGGAGTCCAAAAATATACGGGGACTTATGGCCTCATTGAAGATATGACTTTTAATAGAGTAGAATGGAGAATCAGGATTCATGTAGCCAACCCCAATTAATTGGGAAAATGCTAAAATGATGATAATGATGATGATATATATAATAATGCAATAATAATACATATAATATTATAATAATATTCAATAATATCAATATTTTAAAAAAAATGGATCAGTGACTTGGATCGGCCACCCCAAAACCATGTCGAATCGGTGGGTTGGCTATCCGGATTGGAAAATCCGCCTAATCGGCCAGTCTTAGCCAAAAACAATTTCAAAAAATCACTATAATTTCTCAAAAATCTAATTTTCTAAAAAAATAGTGGGAATTACATTATGCTTGTTCATTATTGTATCAAAATAATGTATATGCTGATAATCTATCTTATGTTGAGTGTTTGTTGTCTATTAAGTTTATTTTATAGTCAAAATGAATTTTAAAATGCAACTCAAGACGAAAAAATGAATTTTTCAAACTCAATTTATTTATTTTTGTATTAACTTAATAGTTTTGACTTTTAAAAGAAACTATTTGAAACAAATTTAGTGGAAGAGACTGTTAGTAGAGAAAGGGAAAAAAAATTAATAGAATTGATTGTTTGTAAAGAGTGAAAGATACTAAAAAGAAATGATGAATGCCAAGTGGAAAGAGAGATAAATGCCAATGGTAGAGAGAGAGAGTAATGATGCCAAGGAGAGATGCCAAGAGGGAAAGAGAGCATAATTTACCCCATGCTTATCTATAGGGGCCAATAATTTATCTCATGCCTACCCATACGAGGGAAATTATTGGCCCCTAAATTGTGATGATGTGGACCACGGTCCACTTTACAAAACTTTAAAAAGATTTCAAAACTTTCAAACTAGGATGATGACTTAAAAAATTTCAAAACTATCAAAAATTTTACTAAGGTCATAAAGGCTCACTTACCGGTTCAGTCGGAGAACCGATACTGACCTATCAAAACCAGCCAATTCAGGTCGGTACACGGCCGGTTCTTAGTATCTAATAGGAACCAGATTGGCCCAACCAATTTCGATCGGAATTATCGAATTTTAAAACTTTAGATAATATAATATAATATATTACAAATTGAAGTTGTGACCATCACATCGGCCTAGATTGAGTTGTTGAGCTTACACTGATCCATCAGCCCATGGGCTAACAAGATGATTTTCTATATATACTAGCACCACAGTTTATCAAACAAGGTCTCTAGTTTTCAGGCTCCCAATTTCTATCTGCTTTCCAAAATCTAAGAAAGTTAACATCAGGGATTTTTCTAGAGAAACTGTAGTTAAAGTTATCAAATTCCACCTGACAATTAACTTGGCGCTTGGACTATTTTAAATTATTATAGTTAATATTTTTTATTATTATAATATAAAAATCAACATTAATAATATGATTGTAATACTGTAAAAAATATTAAAATAATTATGTAAATATAAGTACAACTGTAATTAAATATGGGATTGTATAATATGAGAGAGTTCATTTTTTTTACAAAAAGGTCAACTTTTTTTAGCGATTGGATGTGAAATCTAACATATTAAAATGTATCATAGCTTTTGAGAAAATTTGTTTTGGATTTTGTTCTCAATTAGTGACACATTATCACTCATAAGATTTTCTAGAATGTTAAAAATATTTTCTAAAATCTTTTTCTAAAATTAGGATAATTTAGGAAAAATAGTTAAGATTACTATCCATTTGAATTTTAACTTGAAGCTTGGAGGAGACTAACATTCAACTTGGAGCTTGGACCATTTTAAATTGTTATAGTTAACTTTTTTTATTATTATGATATGAAAAGGATAAAGTTTCTACGAGACTTAGGCGTTATGAGAACAAAATAAAAGCTCCACCTCAAATCTTCATTTGAAAAGCACTTTGGAGAACATAAATCTTCATGATGACTTTAAAATCAATTTCTAACACTGGCAATAAAATTTGTAGTTCAAAAAATACCACAAATCTTGTGGACCTATGAATACTTATTTTTTGGGAAAATTTGTTATAATATACACTATTTTTAGAGCTTGAAATCTTAATTTTTTTCACAACCATAGTATTCAAGCCAAGATGATCGAAGTAAAGGTCTTCCAATGCTTGAATTGTAATTTTTGATAAATTATAAGGTGAGGTTTTACTTATTTTGATGGGCTGCAGCCCTATCAAACCATTTTCCATATTAAAATTAACAAGATTGTAATATTATAAAAACATTAAAATAATTATATAAAAAAAATTGTTTCATGCGGGCTGGACCACAGTTCTACATATGCGGTCCGGAAAGTGTAAAGTATCAATCTTAAAGATGGATGCAAGTAGGTGTTCCACCTAAAAACAATAAAAACTAACGGACCAAATGTTTTCTTTCTAAAAATTATTATTTTTAGGTTTTAAAATTTATGTATTTATTCATATACATGGTCTCCATGATAGAGATTACATGTTCTTAAAAATTAATTATTAAAATCCATCTCAAAAATAGATTTATTAGGATGCCCCATTTCCACATATGCGGACTTGACCGCGTAGAAACCGGGTCTATTATATAAATATAAGTACAATTGTAATTAGATATTATGAATATTATTACATGTAACGTACTCTCCCTCAATAAAATTATGCAAGTATTTATATGATCGCTTAACTTCACACAATCTCCCATTACATCGCATATTCAGGAAATTATTTCCATAAACACTCATTACAAAGCGAGATTGTATCATGTTTAGGCTATTATTTTCACCTAATTGCTTATCTCATCTCTGCGTGCCACGCACGTAATTCCACCGCTGCGCATAGATCACTTCTTTTTTTTTTCTGGGTAATTACAAATGGAGATGCCAAATCACACATCAGAACTCATAATAAAAATACAGAAGATGCGGAGATGCCAAATCTTTCAAGCAGAGCGGAACGGACATTTCACCTCGAGATATGGAGGGGTCAAATCTTTCATGTCTGAACCAGAGCGTACCAGATTCATTTCCTCTCTCTCGCTCTCTCTATAAAGGTCAGTTGGTTTCTGTCTCCGAACAAAGAAAGATAGAATTGGGTATTTTGAACCTCTTTTGGTTTTGGGGTAGTTAAGTTTATCCAATTTGATGATTGAAATTAGAATTGGGTCTTTGAATCTCTTTTGGGTTTTGAGTTTCATAAGGTTTATGGCTTTCTGCTCTTCAATTGCATAGAACACATTGGTTTTGCATTCTTGTTATCGAGTACTTCATCGATGCATCGCTCTTTATCCAATTTGACAGTGGAAAGCTTGGGTTTCTGTGTCATTGAGTTTCAGAACTTGCATTTTTCTCTTTCATTTTAATGGAAACTATCGAATTTGGGTTTCTGGAATTTGCTATTTTGTTCATTATCTGGTAGGAAAAACATGGAGCTAGGCTTTCACATCTTGTTGTTCTATTACGTTCTGCTTCATGATCTCCACTCTAGTTCAAATTACTTGCATTTGGGCCTTAGTGTCCTTTAATTTCAGTAATTTGCCTTTCCTGCTCTCTCACCTGATGCAAATGTGATAAAGTTCCTTTGGGTGCTTTTGTTTCAAAAAATTCCGCTCTTATGAACTTTGAAATGAAATGCAAGTAGCTGGAATTTTGATTATCTTGGTGCCCATGAATTTGGGATATTACTATTATGAACTTTAATGTAGAATACACATAATTGAGCTCTGTGTCCTGATAATTAAGCTGAAGCGCATTCTGATCTCACATACTGGTTCAAAGCATATCACTCCTCTTTCACCAATCTGGTTATAGATGAAAAACATGGTTTTAGGCTCAGATTTCTTTATAGTAGTACATTGTACTATGTATCCAACCTTTTGATTTTTATGGGTCTTTGATTTGATGGCTTCTTGAGGAATTCAATGGTCTCTAGAGTTTTTTATTTGATTGTTCTTTGAGAAATTTGAGCGTCTTTTGGTTTTCGATTTCCGGGTCCTGTAAATGTGTAGAAGAGTTTCAAAGGCTTCACCATTAATTTGCTTCAGAAATGGCTCTAGAAAACCTTGTAGGAGTTGTTTTGGGTACAATAGCTTTTTCTGTGTTTTGGGTCCTTGCAGTTTTCCCTGTTGTTCCCTTTCTTCCTATCGGTAGGACAGCTGGGTCCCTCTTAGGAGCCATGCTAATGGTTATTTTTCAAGTTATAACACCAGCTGAGGCGTATTCAGCTATTGATCTCCCAATCCTTGGTTTTCTTTTTGGAACCATGGTACTTAGTGTATATCTTGAGAGGGCCGACATGTTCAAATGCTTGGGCAAATTACTTTCTTGGAAGAGTAAAGGAGGTAGAGACCTTCTCCTTAGAATTTGTCTGATTTCTGCTATATTCAGTGCCTTGTTCACCAATGACACCTGCTGTGTAGTTTTAACTGAATTTGTATTGAAGATAGCTCGACAAAATAATCTACCCCCTCGACCATTCCTCCTTGCATTGGCCTCTAGTGCAAATATTGGGTCATCAGCAACTCCCATTGGGAACCCTCAAAACTTGGTCATAGCGGTTCAGAGCAGCATATCTTTTGGTGATTTCTTGAAAGGGATAATCCCTGCCATGCTCATTGGAACTGTTGTTAATGGCCTCATTCTTTCGGTTATGTTTTGGAAGATTTTATCAATCGAAATGGATGAGGAAGGTACGATTTCAGAAGTTATAACTGAGGAAGCAGTGAAGTATCATCGATTTTCACCAGCCACCATGTCACATGTAACCTCTTCAACTTCTCAAGATTTTGATAGCATGTTGGAGGGTCCCTCTGTTAATAGTGAATTGGTTATTGCTGAAAGTTTGAGGGATCGAATGGGTGTCAGTGATGCTGAGATCATGACGAGTAGAATGAGTGCTAGTGAGACTGATAATATATGTGTAATTTGGAGTGGAGTTGAGTCTGAAACTATGGAACAAGTGGGGCATATTGGACAAGAAGATGGGGTTCCTGCAAGAAAGTCTTCTATGCCGTCTACTGTGATGAATAGCTTGAGAAAGTTGTGCTCAGATCATTCCACTTCTGATGAGACAGAAGGTTTTCTTGATAGATGGGAGAAGGTTATTCGGATGGCTTGTGTTTATCTTGTGACAATTGGGATGCTCGTGGCATTGGTAATGGGTATTAACATGTCATGGACTGCCATCAGTGCTGCTATAGCCCTTGTGGTTCTTGATTTCAAAGATGCTCGACCTTGTCTTGAGAAGGTAAATTTCTCTTCTTTGTTCTTAAGTAAATTGTCATCATCATCATCCCAGCCTTATCCCAACTATTTGGGGTCAGATACACAAATCTTGTTCCGCCATTTTGCTCTATCAAGGACCATACCAATAGTAAATCATAAGTCACCATACTTTTCTGACTACTTCCATCCATGCCATTTTGAGCCTTCTATTTGCCCTTTTAGAGCTTTCTAATTAAACCAAATCGCAACTCCTAACTAGTGCTATATTAGGTCCACGCTGCACATGGCCAGCCCATGTAAGTAATTTGTCCCTCATCTTATCATCATTGAAGCCCCACTTATGTTCTCTTGAATTTATTCATTCTGAATTCGATCTTTCCTTTTCCTACCATTCATCTATCTTAACATCATCATTTTGCTACACTCATTTTATACATATGTTATTTCTTGACCACCTGACATTCCATCCCATAAAGCATGGCTGGCCTTATAGTTACCTATAAAACTTCCCCTTCTGTTTTATTAGTAGGCCGACTCCAAATGCATATATCCACTTCGGCTGCCCAACTTATTCTATGTGTGACATCTTCTTCAATCTCCCCATTCTTCTAAATTATCGATTGAAGATATCGAAAACAATCTTTTTTATGTATTGCGTAGCCATCAATCTTAACTAGTTCCTCGTTTTAACTCTTATAATTACTACATTTGCAAATCTTGAATTTCGTATATTCTATCTTAGTCCGACTAATTTTAAAACCTTTAGATCTTAGATCATCCCGCCAAAATTCTGACTTTACGTTGATGCTACCTTTAGTCTCATCAATCAAAACTATGTTATTCGCAAAACATATACATCATGGTACCTCACCTCTTAGTTGTCTAATCAACTCGTCCATAACCAAAATAAAGAGATATGCGCTCAAGGCTAACCCTTGATGTAGGTCTATCATCACTAAAACCTCACTTGTATCTTCACTAGTTATCCTCACACTAGCGAGTGCTCCCTTGTATATATCTCTCAATATGTCAATATAGCCTCTGGAGACTCCTTTCTTTTCCAATACCCACCAAATTAAATCTCTTGGTACCCTTTTGCATGCTATCTTGAAATCATTAAATAACATGTGGAGGTCTTTTCCCTTTTCCTTAAACTTCTCAATCAGTTGCCTAAGGAAGAAAATGATATCAATTGTTGACCTCCCTGGTATAAAACTGAACTAATTTCCTGATAATGCTCGTTCCATGCCTTAATCGTTGTTCAAATACTCTGTCCTACAGCTTCATAGTGTGGCTTATAAGTTTGATCCTTTGATAGTTCGTACAATTCTGTATGTCTCTTTTTTGTAAATAGGTATCATAGTACTTTTTCTCCATTTGTTTGGCATTTTCTTTGTTTTCAATACCTTGTTGAATGGCTTGGTCAGCCAACAAATGCCAATCTCCCTCTTGCACTTCCAAACCTCTATTGGGATACCATGTGGTCCCAAAGCCTTTTCTATCTTCAAATTTCTCTACGCTTCTTTCATTTTAGATATCCTAATCCTGCGAATGTATCTATGATCTCCACCCCCATTTATTTTTTTTTTATCTTTGCTTCTGTGTATATAAATATTGCGGATTTTTACTTGATTATTTGCAATTTTCCCTGCAGGAGACTTGAATTCATCTCTTAGGTATATAAAATTTATTTTCCTTTACTGCCTTCAATATGTATGGGTTAGAGTTTCATCCCTTCTTCTAGTTCTATGATGATCACAAGCTTTCTTGTTGAATTTTTGCATTTTTGCATTGCAAGACAGTTGAATTCTTTGGGCCTTATAAAGTAAACAAATTTTATTTTCCTTTTTCAAGTCATAATTTTAAGTTTTCATTTTTTTCATTTGTTCCAATAAAGATGGCATGTTTCTTGATTGAATATTGGAAATAAATAATGGTTATGGTTCCTTCTGTTTTCTTATACTATAAAAATCGTAAACATTACCAGAAATTGGAAAGCAGCTCTCCCACCTTATTGTTTCCAGATATTATTGTTATATGCAAATTTCTCAAGTGAGAAGCACCTTCTTGACAAAATTTCAGTTTCTCACAAAGTTCCAGATATTTTATGAGATGCCCTGAATTTTAGTTCTGAAATTTGAGCATCCACCCAAAAGAAATTTGTTATGGTGTGTCCCTCTCTTCATCAAGCAGTTATGAGTCTCCAATGGACTATATCACCATGGTTTTCCATAGCCCAAACCTTACTTTAGGTTGTCTCCATCTTAATTTGCCTCACAATATCCTTTGGAATTTATCTGTTCAATATTTTAGTTGAATTGTTCTGATTGATGCTTAGTAAGAGAAGCTTCACATATCTTGACTGGGTTCTTATGATGTCCCAAGCCAGGTTTCCTATTCCCTTTTGGTGTTCTTTTGTGGCATGTTCATCACTGTTAATGGGTTTGACAATACTGGAATTCCTGGTGCTTTTTGGGATGTCATGGAGCCTCATGCAAGGATAGATAGCATTGGTGGGGTCGCAGTTCTTGCTGTAGTAATTGTCGTGCTCTCTAACGTCACTTCGAATGTTCCCACAGGTTAGTCTCTGTCCATCTTTTTAAGCCTTTCCTTTAGGAAATGTATATTATTATGCTCCCAGGAACTATGGGAAACCATAGTCCATAGGGCCCATGACAGTCCATTGTAATGATGGATAGCCATGGAAATAGAGCTGGACCCACAAGAACATGACACGATCACAATGTTGGATCCCACTCTTTCTCCATCACCATCCATCGTTTATAGGACAGTCACGAATTCAGTGGACTACATTTTTTTATGTCCACTGGACATTGATATACTGCCGTGTCTGTTATATTCATTGAGATACATCAATATTCCTCAACTTCAAAGAGAAATTCATGATGAGTCCTTATTATGCCAAAGAATATTATGTGAAAATTTACATTTTGGATGAATCTTTATTTGATTTTTAGTTCAGTTTTCAAAATGGAAAGGAATGACAATTCTCTTTTGGCTGGGGTCTGTTCGCCATTGTTTCCTCTACATGAAGTTTTTACTGGTTGAACTGCATTGGTATTGTTGAGAATGATGCTTTTAGCATCTTTATTTTTACTTTTTATAAATTTAATGATGCTTTAGACTTATTTTTCACTATTTTCCAGCTAAATTTGTTCTTGCAAGTCAGACCAAGTTTAGTGCTACTGAACCCCAAAACTTTCCTACATGAGCAGCCTCTTTGTTAGAAGCTTTTTTTATTTATATCATGAAAAGGAAGATGGCTAGCATACACTTCAGAGCTTCATTTTTCATATAACAAATGGGGCCAAGACATGTATGTCCTCAAATCTCGTTGCATGGACTATTAAATTATTGCCATTTAAAATCATAAAGATCAGTTCAAAGTATTCATATATTGTAAAAAGAACCATGTGGAGCGTATACTGTAGTTTACACTTAGAAAAGAATGATGCAATTTCACAAGATTTCATCAGGGAATGGAGCAAGTTTACTCCGTAAGTGTTCTGGATGTTCTCATGCCTAAGTTGTATCGCCTTAGGATATTGTCAATAATAAAATCCCCACTTTTTTGGGTAAATAAAAAAAAAAAAGACCACTGAGGTGGTGCATGATTGGAGAAGACCTAGTGATTTAAAACATATAGCACATTTGTAGGTGCAAGCTTTAGAATTGTGTGATGTGGTTTTCTTGCAAAATAGTGAAGGTCTGTGATTCTAGCTCAAGGAACCTGGAATTGTCTAATTCTCCCAGATCAAGTAAGATGGATTGGAATCGACAATCTCGCTCAATTTTCTTGGGAAGTGAGTGGGACTCCTATTCTTGTTTTCAAATCACTGCCTCTTGTAGTGCATCCAAGGGACTAAAAATACCAGCCATGTTTAGTACTCATTTTATCATTAGAGACATGGTATTTTGGAGTTATTCCTAGTGAATGCCCAAAAGATAATGTCTTCCTCTCTATCATGCACAAAAAACGAAGCACCTTTACTTATGATATGCCTTATACATGGGAAGATATAGTATATAATCTATATGATCATATTAACATTATGTCACAAGGATAATCATCTTTCCAAACAGTTTTAGAGGATTGAGAGTGGGATGCCAATGAATTAATGAGGTGTTTGGTGGTACCCACTCTCCCTCCATCACCAACCAATCAATTTATGGGATGGTGATAACTCTTGTGACCATGGCATTACCAAAATCATCTCTCTCTCAATATTAACCTCTCTATGAGGTTACTACATTGGCCTAAACTCCCATTCGCTGCGGCCTTAATGAAAGTGTTCCATTCAATTAAACTTTATTTTCATTATCAGTAATGTAATAGCTACTTCACATCCCTAACTCTCTCTTAAAATACATGGCCTCAGTTCTCCTCCTCGGCTCTCGTATGGCTGCATCGGCGGCCTCAATCTCTGGAGGGAGCGAAACACGTGCATGGCTCATCCTGGCTTGGGTGAGCACGGTAGCGGGGAACCTCACATTGTTCGGATCTGCCGCCAACGTGATCGTTTGCGAGCAAGCTAGGCGCTCTCAACTGTTTGGCTACAACCTCTCCTTTTGGTCCCACTTAAGATTTGGGCTTCCCTCTACAATTATAGTTATTGCTATAGGGTTGCCTCTCATAAGGGGTGAATATGAGTCCCCTTTTTTTTCTTCTTCCATGTAAATTCTACCTATTGTTTTCTTTGTTGTTTTAAAACTAGCAGTAAATTTGCGAGATAATGGCAGAAGTTTTGGTTGAACAAAGGTGGATTTGGGGCTTTGTCCATGGGTTAATTGTTGTCAGCTATAATAATGGATCGGAGTTTTCCCAAGGTGGATTTGGAGTTTTGAAAATTGCGGATCTCCTATTTGGATTGGCAATTTATGAGGAACGTTGAAAAAATGGATAAATATCCCAATAGTGGAAAAAAGAAATATTTGGGTATGTCATTTTTTTAGGAATATAGACTCATCATCATCATAGCCTTTTCCCAATTAATTGGGGTCGGCTATATAGGAAGATAGATAATCAAATCTAAATTAAACAAAGGTAGGAGACATAGGAACTACACACTTTAAGCAGAAAAGATACCCTCATGCAAAAATTTACTTATATTCAATGGTTTAAGCTATTTAACCTTTTCTCCTTTTTGATGCTCCTTTGATAACCCTTGCCTTTTCCTTTACCAGTCCTGATGCCCTAATTCTCCCCCGTTTCTTTTAATTTCTCTTTTTGTTTTGAGAATTCGTATGATTTCCTGGATCTGGGGTATTCTAATCCTAGTTCCACTCCATTTATCAATGGTTGTAGCTTTTTTAGTGGAGTTTGCTGAGGACTTGTTAATATAGGGTTGCTGGATTGTGCTTATTGTGAAGATATTGATTGAACTGGACGTTTGGTTGTTTTTCCTATCTGGTTTTTTCTTTTATAGAGTGAGATTTACAGTGTTTTAGTGTTTCGAGAATTTAGGAATTTTCTAGGTGGAAATATGTGGAATAATGGTAATAACAGTGTTGAGATTGTAAATGCTGCTGCTTCCGCTATTGTAACTGCTAATTTTTCCTTTTCTCATTTATATTTCTATGTTTTACATATCTATAATTTATATACATACATACCGAGATGCACAAGTGAAATCCTGAATCCATGTTATGTTATGTACACACATGTACGTACATGCTTTCCTACGTGCAAATGTAGATTAATGAGTTCTTAGATACATATATAAGCAAACCTTCCTATGAGCATCTATGCATGTAAACGTGTGCAGTCTATCTACTTGTATGTATCCATATATGCATGTATTTGCTTGGATGTATGCTTTCATAAATGAAAGACTCCTTTTCTTAGGTATTATTGTTCTGTGTTCCAAATTTGTTTGACTATATAACCCCTCTTCTTATTTGTGTAAATTAGTATGCTTCCCCTTTTAGTAGAAATAGGTTGAAAAATATCAGATGGGGAATTTTTTCTATATGTAGTGGAAGGCCTAAAATGCCTGTGTATTTTGGAAATGACTGCTTTGCCTTCTTGAAAATTAAAGAGAGCAAGAAAAAGAAGCAAATTTGGATTTGTATATGTCCTTATTGGTAGCATTCTTACAGCAGGCTCAATTTGTTTGTATTTGGAAATAGTGAAATTCCATCCTATAGTTAGGGGTGTCTGTGCCCGTTCTGTATTTTTCTAAAAACATTTTGGACAATGGAGATATCTAACTATTGGTTTAGTTTTTTTTAATTTCATTTTTGCGTATTTTATAGGGTTATTCTAGATTAGCAGCCAAAACCAAAGGATGTTTTGCCAAAATTTATCAGTTAGGATTGTGTTGGTCATTTTTGTGAATTAGATATCTAGAAAAAATTCTGTTATCGGGCCCACATGCACAGATCTATATATATGTGTGCGTGTGAGTTTTTTTGTTTACGGATTGAATTTATTTCTTGATGATGACAAAGTAGTAATATGGTTGGCAAGGTATTGCTTTAGTATCTGCCCTTTCGCAGAAAATTCACCAAATATTACTACTAAATTGGGTAGGGGATCCTTAGTTTCATACATCCATCTTGCTTATAACCTAAAATATTTCATTGAAAATCATCTGTGCATGTCCAGGACTCTTCCCTGCCTCTCTCTCTTGAATTGACCCATACTTAAAGAGTCAGGAATCACACTATGACATCATGTCCAATAATCCAGTTTCTTTCAATGCTTAATGAGCCCTTATTTCCATTGAATTTGTTCTATTGCAATAATTGAGTCCGTTTTAGTACATCGACTTCGTGGTACCACCAAATTCTTAAGACTTGCAGAGGATCCTGAAGTGGCTCGTCAAGTCTTCCTACTAAGGTTCCCCTCTTATGTACTCCTATGACAACTATCCAACTGATCCTCTCCTTATTCTTTGTAGAAGTGATTGGTCCAATTCAATATGTTGGGTTGATTCCTCTGGGAAATGCTTCATTTTAGATATCCTTAGTTTTTCTCTAACTTAAATTGTCTCCAGTTGCTACTTTAATAGCATATAATTGCTGAAGATTCGGAACTTGGACTTGGCTTAAGTCTCAAAGGCATCCAAGACTCTTAAATACTTTGGAGTTTTCAACCACTCAAACTGCTCTCCTTTTCAGGATCATCCAGGGCGAGTTTTCAACCACTCAAACTGCTCTCCTTTTCAGGATCATCCAGTGCTCAAATGGGCATAATAGTCATATACGAACAAATTTGGGTACTCTTCCAGAATGTTTATTCATGAAAACCAGCTGAAAAAAAAGAGAAATTCTGTGAATCAAAACTTCCTATGTTCTTTTAAGTCCTTGAGACTTGCTGATAAAATGAGGCTCTCAAGTTGAACATTAACCGTATGAATCTGTTCTGGGTTTATATGTGGTGTACTACAAAGTTTTGTTGATATTAGACAATGAGAAAATGATGGGTCACCTGTATCTTGCTGTGATTACTCAAGTACATTAAATAAAGAAAAAATATCATTCGAATGGTCAAACCACCTAAAAAAATCATTGAGGTGGTCAAGTCAATCAATTTATCAACAAAGTTACTTAAAAAGATTGTCATTCAAGTACTTCCTCAACAATTTTGTAAAAAACGCTCAAAATACCCCTGTTCTTGGTTCCAAATGCTGAGCAAGCAAGGGTTTGATAATCTGTTGCAGGGACAGTGAAGCATCACTTGGGTAGATAAACATCATATGCAGTCTTTTTGTTGCAGATCTCTCGCTCCCTCTCATGTTCTTTATTTTGTTCTATAGAAAAGAAGATGGGGAAGCTGTTGGGGCGCGTACTGGTGCTTTGGATCCCATGCCATGGCAAATGCATCAGCCGAGCAGTGCTGGTCCCTGAACCTGTCCCCTCTGGTGATGGTGCGCTACTACAAAACAAATCCCGCTCATTCAGGATATGGGTGATAAGGATGATAACCAAAACAGTGAGCATTATAAAAAAAATCATAGGAATTTCAAGGGTAAAACTGAGTACTGATAATTCTGTTACAGGGTATTCGAAGTGTCCAATTCAATGTCATTTTTGCGGGCTAAGACAAATGGAATTGATATTCATGTCAAGGCTCGAGTTATTTAATGGTTTAGGGATGCGTTTTTGTTGCTATGCCGGCAATGTAGTTTATGGCATTTGGGGTTCATTTATTTACAGGTTTTGCGAGAGAAAGGAGGATAGAGATGGGAAAATACTTTTCTATGTATGAGAGAGTGCATGTGCATGTGCACCATGTACAAAATCCTTGATTTCTTCTCTATAAATTTATAGGATAAGAAGTTGTATTATTTTATCATCATTTTTAAAGAGCTATCCAAATTAAGATAAAGAAAAGGGTGAATTGGACAGACAAAAAAGTAAGATACTGATACATGAATTCTTGTAGGTAAGAAAGAGTAGGAATTGTGTCATTGAACACAAAAATATTTAGGATAATATCTTACTAAGAGAGAAATAGCGGTTAATAACTCTTTTGTCAAGAGCATGTGTAGGATACGATAAGAGAGATCATGGATTCGGTAGGAGATGGGACTTACCTGGATTTTATTTTTTGAACTTCAAAGACTTATCTCTTCAGTGTAGGATTTTCTTTTTTCTTTTTTTTTACCGTTAAAGAGTTTTCTTTTTTATAAGGCTTGATGGAGGTATTAAGGTGTCTCTTCATTTAGTTGAAGTGCAGCCAGCAAATTCGGAATATTTGTCTATAAGTCTTTAAGATGTCTCTTTATCAACCTATCCTGAAATCTCTCATCTCTTCCCTCAAAGATTGTCTTTCTTTCTCTTTCTACCTCATGCCACATCTATCTCACAAATTCTCTCTCTTTTATCCTAAAGTCTCTCTACCATCTTGAAAAATCATATGTATTGTTCTCTCTATCTCATGCCCTCTTTTTTTCACCTATATCCTACAATTTCTACTTTTTTAAGAGTCACTTGCTCTAAATTCTCTCAAATATAGGGTCTCCTTTTGTTCTTGGTGTCTATCCTTTAATTCTAGCTTATAATAATGTAGTATAGTATAAATATATATGATAGCGACTGATGCCATAGACCGCCACGCCCCTCTCTCTCTCTCTCTCTCAAATATGATAACAAAGTATACAATAAGATGTCTCTTCATCATTATATAGGAAGTTGAGGTGGAGTTTATCTTAAGCAAGTTATGAATTGTATATTGTAAGTTGCTTTACAGTTCACACAAAAAGTCAAGATCACTATTAGCCATTAAAAGTATGCAATAATCAACCATAGCCATTAAAGTAAATCCAAGTGGTTAGGTGCATCTCATTTTTTTGCACAAGGTTTCTTGTAATTTTGAATACAATCAATGTCATGTCTCAATTAACCATAGCCATTAAAGTAAATCCAAGTGGTTAGGTGCATGTCATTTTTTTGCACAAGGTTTCTTGTAATTTTGAATACAATCAATGTCAAGTCTCAATTATCCATTTACACATTTGATGGTTAAGGTGATTGCAACAATTTTGCACGAAAGATAAATTATTGATAAAAGGGAGATATTAAGCTTTGTTTGAATATGGAAGATCTTAAGGTATCTCTTTATCAAAATATGGTAAGTTGAACTGGAGTCGGTCTCAATCAAATTTGGAATATTTCCCTATAAGACTGGTTAAGATGTCTCTTCATCAGTAAATATAGTAAGTTGATGTAGAGTTTATCTTAAGCAAGTTATGAATTGTATACTGGAAGACTCTTTACTTTTCACACAAAAGGTTATGATCACTCTTAGCCATTAAAAGTAGGCAACTATCAACCATAGCCATTAAAGTAAATTCAAGTGGCTAGGTGCATGTAATTTATTTGCACAAAGTTCTTGTAAGTTTGAATACAATCAATGTCATGTCTCAATCACCCATTTTCACATTTGATGGTTAAAGTGATTGTGATAGTTTTGTACGAAAGATAATATTTTGATACAACTTAAGGGAGATATTAAACTTAGTTTGACATGATTATAGGCATGTGGAATATCTTAAGGTGTCTCTTTATCGAAATTTGGTAAGTTGAAGTAGAGCCAATCTCAACCAAATTTGAAATATATCTCTATAAGATTGGTTAAGATGTCTCTTCATCAGTATATAGTAAGTTTGAGGTGCAGTTTATCTTAAGCAAGTTATGAATTGTATTTTGAAAAACATTTCGCTTTTCACACAGAAAGTCACGATCATTCTTAGCCATAGAAAGTAGGCAACAATCAACCATAGTCGTTAAAGTAAATTCAAGAGGTTAGGTATATGTCATTTCTTTACACAAACTTTGAGAAATGTTTTCTTGTACTTTTGAATGCAATTAATGTCACATCACAATTCACCCAATTTCACATTTGATGGTTAAGGTGATAAACTTTTGATAAGGCTTAAAGGAGGTATTAAGCTTAGTTTGGCATGATAATGAGCATATGGAAGATCTTAAGGTGCCTTTTCATCAAAACATGGTAAGCTGAAGATGGTTAATCTCAATTAAATTTTCAATTTTAAATGATGTATATTTTGATTTTAGTTTTAGAGTTGATTTTTAGGATTTTCAGTTTTTCTTGAATTCTAGGGTTTTTAAATATTTTTTATTTACTATTCATGGTAATGTTCACAGTTATTGTTTATAGGTATTGTTCATGCGCAACTATTCATAGATTTGTTCATGCATTACTGTTCATAAGGGTAATTTTAGAATTTTCGTATTATTTAGGGGTATTTTAGAATCTTAAATTGTTTTACTTGGGTTTCAAGTTAATTTAGGATACCATAGGTTTATACAAAATTGGATGCCATTTCGGGATATGTTATAGAAAATAAACAAGAAAGTTATTCTCTTGGCTTGATTTACAACCATCTTTTGTCTCCATTATCATTCATTTTACTTGTTTAAAATTCAGGAAAAGGGATTCAATTTCCCACTTTTCCTTCCTGCATCAAGTGGTATCATAGCATAGTTCAAAGACAGCTCGAGATTGCGATGGCTAGTCATGAAGGTCTTATCCATAGGGAAGCCGATCTGATCCAACTGCACAAGGAAAGAAACAACATGATGGAGAGGGTTACAGAGCTATTGCTAGGCAAAGGAGGCCAGCGATAGCATACCCTAAACGAAGAAGAATCTACAATGATAGATCCAAATTGTGAGGCTTTTTATGGAGAATGACATGTAATAGTGTCCAACACAGAGTCGGAGCGAAACGATGAACCTGCCTTCAACTACCAATTCTATAGACGTTGTAACAATCCTAAACTTAAAAAATATATAAAAATAAAAATAAAATACAAAAAATCTTTTACCTTTGATGGTCCATACAAATAATTTGGTCCTTAGGGACCATCA